AGTACAAGGGCTCTGGGAGACAAGCACCCCCTTTGGAGAAGGCTGCCCGGAAAGCAGTACGCTTAGAGCTGTCCTGTTCGAGAAAGAAAGTGACGGACACATCCAGAGGACAGGTTGAAGATTTAGGGGAAGTTTACTGATCATGGGCAGCGAATTATAGAGGGTACAGGGTAAAGGTTTCAGAAGTTGGAGAGGGGGGCAGAAGAGCATGGAATAGATATGTACGCCAATCTCCATACAGGACAGCGACCCATTAGTCTAGGGCTTTTTGGCGGACTGACCCAGGCGGGGATAAAGAGCTATGTAAGTCCCGGCGGGTTCAAGGCAGATGATGAGAATATGAGTGTTGGTGGGTAGGGCTGGGGAGATTTCTGGGGGCCTCCTTTTTTACCTCAGAGGAGGTGTGGTCTTAGTGTGCAGGCATCCTCATGTCATCATGAACATGCTTTTTTATTGTTCCCTAATGGAATTCATGTGCTGATTCTCTGGGTAATGGACATATTGACAAGAGCCTTGTGGAGCTAATGACTAATTTCCCAAGAACCATGCAAACTTCCAACAGTGGGGCAGTGCCATTTGTAGTGTTCTAGAAAGTTGGATTCTGGGGAAAGTGATCCGAGCTGAAGTGAGAGCCAGGGTTTGACCAAGGTCCTGGGAACCATCAGGCCTGAGGAGGGACGCTCCTCTGACCACTGAGAGGGCTCTGGCGAGCTCAGCTGCAGGCGAGAGGCAGAGTAGAAACAGCTGAAGTTCTGTAGGAGTGAGCTAGCTTAGACCATGCCACTGCTTTTGGTGTCTTTCTTCTTTTACAACTCACAGGTGCAATTAAGGTAGGCTTGTTTACCTTGGGAACAGTGGCAATCACCAGCCAAATCAAAACACCGTTTTCTTCCCAGATCTATTACTGTGATTAACAGGAGGACTCCCCAGCAATAAGGTAGTTCTGTTTCCCAACAGCCCAACATTTGCTCGGCACCTGGGGCCTGGCAACTCCACGGTACTGGTGCCTCCTCGCGCAGTCAGGTGCCGCAGGCCTAAGAGTGCCAGAGGAAGGGGCTTAGAAAGGCAAATGGCCTTTTCTGTCACCATCCAGTGCCAATTGGCACCTGGCTTTCAAATGACACCCAGGATCAGCCTGAGTGAGGTCTTGTGCCCTAAACAGACTAGCTCTCCAATCTCCTGACCATACTTTTGCTGGGGTGTTGGAACACATTGATTTTACCAGTGCTGAGGTCGAGGGATACTGTCCCCTCGGGCCCCTGAGAGAGCTGGCTTGAGGAGTTGCTTCTGCTTTCCCAAGCTCCGCTGGCACACGGCTCACGCTCCAGGACGGCCCCGTGGCCTTGTGTGGGGCCCAAGGAACATTTGGACTCTGGTCGGTGAGAACACCGTGGGCCTCCCACTCTTTCTAAATTGCAGAATAAACAGATCTTTAGACCCCAGGCAGCTATTGTGTATGAGGCTGAGAGTATTTTTGTCTTTAAAAGAGAAAAAAGCAGCGGGCTTTTTTTTCAAGTATCTCCTTGGCTCTAACTGAAATACAGCCACAGAGAGGAGGGCTGGGGGAAGAAAAACTAGCCCTTAATAATCCAAAAGACTAAAAAACAAAAACAAAAACAAAGAATCTGAAAGGCTAGTTTTTCCACTGTGTTATATGGAGCTTGAAAAATATCCTCTGTTAGTCTGTTAGCAGCTGTTTTGAGACGGAGGACCCACTTCAGTGACTTCTCTGTTACTGTCTTGAGGATTCTTAAGTCTCTTTGGCTCCTGGGGGCCAGAGGCTAAGGCTTTCTTTATTCTCTGCCTGCTCATGGCTCGTGTTCAAGAGGATCACTGAAGATGTGAACTGCAGTGAGAATCAAAACCTGATATAAAGTATTGTAAAATGTGATTAGATTAAGAACACTTCGAGAGTAGCAGTTTATAGTCTTGACTCATCCAACAACCTGCCATCCGATCTTAAATGTTGACAGTATTGCAATTCGATAGAAACTTGTAGTATTAACAAACAAAAATAGGTATATATTATGGTAGTGGAGGCAGCTGGTATGTCTCTTTAAATGGGGGACATACAGTGGTGTGGTAGCATAAGCTCCATTTGATTTATTCAGATATAGACTCTGTAGTATTATAAAGGGTATAGGAGTTTTCTTTCTTTTTCAGCAATCTTTTCTTTCTGTGGTTGAGGTTCATGTCTTTAAGATGGACTCACAGCTGTGAAGACTGTGAATCTCATGGAACTGGACTAAAGATTCCAACATCCATTTTCTGAGTTTTTTTTAAAGAATCATACTTAGTGCTGAGTTATAAAGCAGACGTTGGCAAGTACAGTCTTTTTCAAACTCTGGGATAAAGAGTACTGAAGGGTACAGGATCTGAACCCACCGAAGGTGTCTATGTTTGTACATGAACAGCTGAGGTTATTTCCTTATCTCCTCTTGGATTTCAACTTCTAGGATGTTTGTTGAAACACCCTTCAGTGTATATGTGGCTCCCAAGGCTTACAGACATTTATTTAACAGTGGAACTCCCCAAGGAAAGCATGGGTCGTTTTGTTTATTTTTTCCTACCTTTAGTTCTCTTTTCTCCATCTCCTAGGTGTCCTGGGTGTTTCTAGCTGGAGACTCGGGGATTCTCATTCCCCTCACTGCATCCAGTGGGAGACTGCTACAGGGTATCTTCTAAATCCAAAACCTTTTTGTTAGAAGCCAAAGCAAAGTTGACAGACTACTGCACTTTCAGTAGCACTATGTCTTTCTCAACCAACACTTATGTGATTTAGAGTCTTATACTATTCCATTAGAAATGAAAAGTTTGGTTTCTCATTGGCTGAAATGAGCTCTGTTGTTCCCTTCTTTGTCAGAGGTCAAAATGTTAGCAGGCTTTGGGTCAAGCAGATAATCTGGTTCTAGGACTCAAATAACTGCTTCAGCATGGAAGTTGGTAACAGTTCTCCCTGGAAAAAAGGACCCAAATTTTCTCCTGTCATAGCTTATATTGGAATTGCTTATTTAGCTATTTTGTCAGCTACTTTTATCCTGTTTCTTCTCTGGTGTTCCCAGTAACCAGGACATTCTTATGAATTCAAGAAATGTTTGATGCATAAATAAAGGGATGAGACTACTTAAGAAATATTATGTTTACTAAAGATATAATGGTTTGTTTCTCCCGAAGATCCTGAGTCAGTACAGTTCAACTATACTTCTTCAGCTCTCTATCCAATATTGAGGGTGGAGGTGGGAGAGCTGAGGAAGGGGATGTTATGAAACACAGAAACACTATGAGCGGTATATATGAACAAACCTCAGCATAGTTTAATTTTACCCCAGGCTGCTTCCTTCCCCCTCCCATTCGAAGGGGAGGCCCCCTTTCTTCTCGCCTATCGAATGTGAGGAAGGGGCCATACCTAGTTGTTGAGGAGACCGAGTAAGATTGCCAGGGAATCATTTCATTCTGCCATGACTCAAGCCTTACGTTCTCATGGTCATCAGGTCAAAGTTTTAAACATCTAAATGGTGTAACACTGCGGATAAAAATAAGTTCAAGGTTAAGACAAAGTGGAAAAGTACCAAACACTTAAAAAAGATAATTGGCAAAAACCTTCCTGTTGACAGCCTGTTTTGTGTTTGCAGAGGTGGTGTGATATAATCCAGGAAAACCGGGTCTGTTGGGATGAGCATGCTATCAGATGAGAAAGCTACCCGATAAGAATACTGATTAAAAGGAATTAAACGCCTGGGCTGAAGGTGAAGGGAAGGGCAACAAACTGCGTGCTGTGTGATATTTTGCGTCAATTCAGCCGCCTCCAGGTAAACTTGAGCTTCTGTTGATCCCCAGCTTTGGCGCCTTTGAATTTCCTTAGTCACGAGCGCTTCTAACTTGCAGTCACTGAACTTGAGATGCAAGTACACACCAACGTAACGTGCCATATGAAAGTTTTCCCCTGAGAAATAAACTGCTTTTGCATTTTTGGGAGAACATAGTCCTTAAAAAAGATTTTTACAGCCCAGAGAAAGGGTATTGGTAGTGAGGGTCCCCCATTGTTGAACTGAGGTTCCTGCCTACACCTCCGGCACTGCCTCTCTTTGCCAGGGCTTGTCTAAGTCAGCCAGGAAATGAGTGGACCACCAAGTCCTGATCAACAGTACTTTACTTTCCTGTCCTATAGTTTTTTTCTTCATATGCTAAAGTGAGGCACATTCAGAAGTGATCTCATCAAAGATGAGATCCTTTAAAATTTTAATTTAGACCAAGTAAATCTTCAAAAAGAAAACTCTGAATTAAATCTCAAACCTTTAGGGAGCCTTCAGATCACATATTTGGCAGGATGGACTACATTACCTTAATAATAAACATTTTATTTGGATAAATCTTTGGGATTTGTTTTTAACGATAGCTTAGAATTTGTGTTGGAATTACCATTCGAGGATTAAAGTATTAAAAAAGTTATCTTTTCCCCAAAACTCATAAAGATTCTATTCTTCCAGTACTTTACTGACATCATTAAGAATCTTCTCAAGGTGGCAACATTTCCTTGTCTTGTACTTTTATTCAGATGATGTGTTTTTCCCCCGAATTTGCCAAAGTATGAGATTGATGTGTTTCAGACCAACAATTTCTCCCATAATCATACATGTTTTATCTCCTAGAAAAATAATGAAAATAGAAAAAAGGTCTTGGTGCAATCATAATTATTAATGGGATTCCCGGGGGCAGAGTGAAATTATTCAGTCCTCTGTGTCTTTTCTAAGACACCCAGGATTTTTACTTGTTTCACTCTTCTATTGGACAGACATTTCAACTGAAGATAGATTATTTTTCTCCACCAAATAGCATCCCAAATCACAATGCTTTAAGAACTTAAAGTCAATCATTTTCAGTTTAAGCACCTTAAAAGGTCAAATTATGTATTTTTCACCCTACGTGGTTTTAGTTGAAACAAACTCCTATTTTAACTCAGATCTTCTTTAGAAAAAGAAACAGAACACATTTCATTTTTTATATAGAATAAACTTTGTTTTTATTATAGACATGGATCAAAAATAAAAGTTTTTATGTACATATGACATATAGTGCAAATGAAAGGCTTTTAAATACCAAGTATAGACATATTGTCGAAAACAAAAGGAGATGAATGATGGGGGTTAGGATGGTCGTCCGGGAACTGCAGGAGGGGGTCGCCTAGTGAAAACAAAACAACAAAAAAAACAAAAGAAAACAAAAGAAAAAGAAAAACACAGATGCAGAGGAAAAAAACAATGTTTAAATTAGAAAATAAATCCAAATAACAGCATGCATAAATATCCCGCAAAAATCAAACTCAAATCAGACAGAAAACATGCAGATGCAGGCATGCAGGGGAAATGAGAGAATATCACATGGCATAGTGAGCAGCTCCTAGCATGTTTCCTGGCTTCCAGCCTTGTGCTAGGTATGAGCCATTTGAGCCCACTCCAAAACCTTGTTATTTTGTACCATGGAATGATAAATCCATGCAATCATATTCAGGAGAACTGGGAACAGTACAAGAGCCGCATACCTTTATAACTTGAGTATGTTTCCCAACCCTGATTTTGTGACATTCAGTTACTTCCAAAGATTTCAGTAAATGTTATGAAATCTCCATAGGGGGAGAGGGAGTTGATATAGAAATATGACAGGTGAGATTTCTTTAAGATGAGGGAAAGTAGAAGGCGGCAAGGGATCAAATGAGCAATGTAATCACGATGCAGAAAATATCTGGGGTCGATCTTGGAGAAAAGGATTTGTAAATAAGAATTTCCTTCAGGTGAAATCCTGATGTGATAGCCTTTCCAGGCCCAGGCAAACTATGAGGCTATGTCTGTTCCATGGTGACCCCAAAGATTTTGGGTAAGGTTTCCCTCTGTCTTAGAGTTAGGTGCAACTGAAGTTCTTATTTATTCTGAACCAGGTCCAGGGTAAGTGAAATTTGGTTTGCTGGCTCTTTCTCCGTATCCCTAGCCTGGCTTGCATCTTGTCAGGCCCACTGGTGGTGAAAGAAAGATCCAGAGTTTTGCTTCGTTTTGACAACAGCCTCTCTCTGGATGATGGGCTGCTAGGGAAGATACAGTAAACGCTACATGGCAATGGACAGCTCTGTAAGTAGGAAAACAGCAGGCCCAATGAAGCTTTCCCACGGGTTTCCAGCAGAAGTCTACATTTAATTTCCTCTTTCTAACCCAACTGGTAATGAGCTCAACATTACAGCAAGCCATAGAACGGCAGGTTAGTTCAGTACCCTACTCCCTGTGGGACTTCTTTTTGGCTACTCATCCAGGTGTTCAACAACATACTCACTTCCATCTTACTTCTGTAACACTTCAGTGAGTGGTGCAATGAAGTCTACAAGAAAACAAAAGCAAAAACAAAAGCAAACTTCTGTTTCATCTTCTATGAGATGTTAATGGAGCCATACTGACTGGGCTATTTCTGAGCAGCTAAAAAACCACCTTACCTTCCCCAAAGTCCAAGACCAATTTTTCTTTGGTCCATTTTAAGCTGGCTGAACTTAAGGAGGCCTCCTATCCATTATAAATGATGAAGAACTTGTTATTGGTCTGTAACCTTTCAACTGCGGGGGGCGGGTGGGGGGCGGTCAGCAGGATCCAGGTAATGGTTATCCCTGGTGTTTTCATGAAGAAAGTGTAATGAAATTCCTGTCAGGCTCAATGAGATTTATCACCTGCCCAGCAAACCGAAACTATTTTTGAGTTCTGAAGGGGCTTTAGAACACTTTAATTACCTCAGCAGGGTGGGGAGGTGAGCCATTAAACTGAACAGCAAGTCCACAGTGCTAAAGGGATGTTTTGTCAGCATATGCCAAAGCACTTTTCTGTTTGAGCTAGTTTGGTGTTCTAGTCTAGAAACAGGATCAGAAACTTTATGTCTTGGAATATATTTCATGGACAGCTAGAATGTTTGCTTCAAACAGCAGAGTGACATCTATCCCCTTAGCTCTTTTCTTTCCCTCTTCACTCATCCTGTATCTACTTTCCTCTCGTTGCCAAAAAAGCATTGTTGGTGATGACACCGTACACTGGCTCAGAGTTACTTCTATTATGGATCTTGGCAGTTTGGGTTTTTACTATTTCTTTTCTAAAATTTTCCATACTACTCAACACAGTGCTGAAGTGCTTGAAGGTCACGTGCTGAAAATACTGGGGCTTTTTATATGAAGGGCTACAAAGTTACCTTATACCATTGCCACTTCTAACACAAAACTTGAAGTATTTCGTTTGGAACACTGAGTTGGGATACTGAGTTGCTAACACATATTAAAACTCATCATACTAGCATTCACCATACAAGCAAATTCTGCCTACTCAAGATTATAATTTCAGGTTATACTTCCTTAAGCTTTCTTAAAAACAACTTCGGAGAATCGTTTGGCTGAAACAGGAAGGTAAGGTGGTAGGAAAAGCTGTGTGTGGAATATGGGCATAATTCATATATAAAAGTCTCCATTATTAAGAAGAATGATGAATTACCCACGTTCTCTTGATCTACCTCAGTGCTGCAAGCTGTTCCTAGGGTGACATTCCTCTGGCAAGAGCCCTGGGAAGGTCTTCCTTATAACTTTTTTCTTTTCTGTTACAATCTCACAAAACATTCCCTGCTTGTTTTCTTTGCCCATCACTCAGATAACTTAATATCCCAGAGCAGTTGGTGAGCCTGAAGGCTTGGGAAAGTGAGACAACAAAGGCAGTAAGAATAAGCGTTCTTCTCAATGCTTTTCTGCTGATCTTCACTTTTAAGTCAACCTAGATCCCTCCCTTTACAAGAATACTATGGGGGTAATGTAATTAATTCAAAGGAGCTCTTTTTTTTTGGCAAGTGAGAGAGAAAAGGTAATACTGAAAGTGATCTGAGTCCTCCACAATGCCCCCCTAGGACTCATTGCATGTCTGTCTCTATCTGCTTTCATGCCCCGTTCCTATGCGACCTACCTCCTTGGATCTCCCCAAGCATCAGAGCTCCAGGAGGATGGTCCTAAGCTGGGAGCTCCAGTTGCCATGACTTTTGATTTTATCACCCAACTTTGTGTTAGTGACAGTCTGTACTGGGACAGTCTCACTCAATGCCTTTCCCCTCTGGCCTAAAGCCACTAAAGCAGTGTTTCCTAAGGCATGTACCTCAGAGCGCTAGTCCTGTGAGATGCTCTATGAAAAAAGCATTGATGGTCAAATAAATCTGAGAAACATGGAGACACTAGCCCTGCCATCTGATACTAAAGCTTCTATAGAGTCTTCCAGTAAAGAAACATCTAATTTTTAGTCACCATTTCCCAAGTATAGTCAATCAAGAAATCCTTGGTGTATGTCTGTGTAAAACTTATTAAAATCTCATGGAATGGACTTTGGGAAACTTCAAATTAAGGTTGTGGTTTTAGCCAACATCTCTTGCATGTACTCTAAGTATCAGTCTGCCTCAATGTGAAAGAACACCAAGAAATGGTCTTAAGAGTGGCAGTGCCAGGTGTGTGATGAAATTAGTACTTCTCAGTATGAAATTTAAAGGTTTCAGCTGAAAAACAAGAATCTTGAAAACTAATTGAGTAGATACTTACATTGATGTCAGAACTATTTTTAAAATACAAATGGAAATTTGCCAGATAGTTACAATAAGGTCCTTTGGTTTTGGTAATTTCTACCAGGAACTATTCTGAATACAGAATCATGCGGTAAGACACACACTCACAGCACAGTGCACAGAATGATTCGCATCCTGACTCTTTCTTCCATTAAAAAGCTTCCTTTGAAGGCACTGATGGCTCCACTCATGGAAGATGTATAGACATGAGAAAGAAATCACAACAGAAAGTGTGAATTAACCCAACAGTTTTTCCAATTCATCTTTTCACAAAGAGCATACCCTGAACACAAAGGGAAAGTAAACCAACATTTCTCCCCTCCCACTCCCTTCTTGTCTCCTGCTTTTAGATGGCACAATCTGAGTCTATGTATGTTGATAAGGGACCAATCATCAAAACTCTTGTAACAAGGAATCTTTCTCTATTCTCTGGAAACTCAGGATAAGGACGTGTGTAAGACTGAACACTCTTCTGTTCTCTTAATATTGGGGAAACTGAAAGGGGTAACTTCTCCCCTCAACGCCGAATGAATAAACAATGGAGGCCAACTGTTGAGTCAGGCTTTCTGTCAGAAATGCCTTCTGTAGACCTACCATTTGGGCAGAGTATTCTTCATCCATCTGTTTCCTAGCTTTTCGGGATCACTTCCTTTTCAATAGCAAAATGTCACGGTGCTTCTTGGCAAGTGTCACTTTGTACCCTCCAGCTGCCTAAGGTTTGTGTTCTTCTTTTACTTAGTACAGCGATGACTTCAAATCAGGCATAAAATGTTTCCCACTCTCCTGCCTTTGATTTGTCCAATCTGCTCCCTTTAAAAATCTCATCCTTCCCCAAATTAATGACAGTAATGCCAAATGCTATCATTCTCCACATTGGTACCAAGAGGATCGAAAGAGTTATAAATATTTACAAGTCTCAGATCTTACTGATAAGCATAGACATGACTCAGATATATACAAGAATGAGGAAGGGGGGAGTCCTTCAAATGTTATGATTTATTTCAGGTTCAGAAATACAGCTTCACATTTTCACAATAGGTACACATGACCTTCAAGAATGATACAAGCTTTAGGAACTTGCTTCAAAAATTCCATTCATAGAGTCCATCCATATATCAGCATTAAGAAAGCCTGAAAGTGCCAAGAAGACAGGGGAAAGTACTCTGGCTCCAATTAATTAAAGAATCAACAGAGAAGGCAAGATTTTGCTTCTGTACACTGCTTCTTAATATAAAAAAGCAAAAGAGGAGTCTGATTCAGAAAAGGGAGAGAAAAGAAACATACAGGCAAGCAAAACAAAGGCTGTACATGTAAAATTAAACACAAATCAAGTAATGGTGGAATTTCTGATTGGAAGGAATCATTTTTAGCAAATTGGCAACATACAATGCAAGAGATTAGACAGAGTAATTTTATTGTAATTTAAAAAACATTACATTAAGGAATTTGAGGGTAAAAATTAAAAAGGAATGAAGCCTTGAGCTGAGCCATGTGTGAAACCCCAGACCAGAGAGGTGAGAAGTCTCACCAATATACCAGTATGAGCAGGTCTTAAGACAAACAGGAGACTC